CTCCCTACCTGGGGTTACATGTTCTAATCATGGATCAAATATCAAGTAGAAAACAAAGCTGTTACCTTGCACGAGGTCTTGACCGTGAATTATTTAGGTGTATGATGGTGTTGGTGATGATGGTAATGATCATAGATGGTGATCGAAATGATAGTACAATAATATTACTGATGGTGGTCATTATGGTGGTGGAAATTGCGGTGATAATTGTCGTGATGATGACCGAGATTGCAGAGTTGTGATGGTCGTGATAGTGGTAATTGCAGTGTTGTGATGGTTATTATTGCAATGTGATGTGGTGGTGTGGTTCTTATTGCAGTGTTAGGTGGTTATTATTGCAATGTTGTTGATGGTGATAATTAACAGTTATTCTACGAATTCGAGTCGAATACGAGCTGATAGCCGATAAGGCGCGTAGCGCCGAATCGGCTATCGCTCATATTCGACGAGAGTGAGTGAAATAACTGTTTTATTATAGATGATGATGGTGGCGATGATAGAGGTGATGACAGTGACGATGGTGTAAAAATGCTGATAGTTAAGGTTTTGTCACTTAGGGCGGTGATGGAGGTTATGATGGTACAAATGATTGTTACGATGGTGATTATAATTGGTGTTGATGGTGGTTAAATGATAGTGGTAATTATGACAGCAAAATGGTGAAGGTATTGATTGAAATAGTTGCCTGGTTGCTGCTTTCACCTGTTTTTCTTGTCAAGAAACAGTCATCGTTGGTATTTATCGTTTGAACTGAAATCAAGCAAATTGTGAAAACCTGACTGGAATATGTTCAAGTCATCTGTTGCCGACGCATGAAAAGCAAGGAAGAAACTATGTACTTGTCTGATACATGGACTATGGTCTGATAGATCGAATTTGTGAGAACGTACGGAACAGATAGACAATTTGATGAAAAATATTGTAAGTACTTTTATTTTCGTTGAAAATACGATGTTGATTTAGCAAAGTTTTGGATATGTAATCCCGATCATTATCAGCACAGTAAATAAGGTTATTTAGGTTTCAGGTTCTCAAACGAGTTCTTATTTTCTGATCAAAAAGTTGTTGGTACTTGTAGATGTGGTATATTATTTCTTAAATTTTCTCCGAATGAATACAATTTAGCAAATAAAAATTTTAAAGCCCGGATCAAACGAGCAGTAGAGTTGAGAAGCGAGAGTTTGCAAGAGACTATACTCAAACGAGAACAAGAGTTGCATGGGAGTTGATGAGAGTTGAGAAGCGAGAGTTTGCATGAGAGTTTTCTCAACTCTCATCTGAACCAGTTCAAAGTTGATGAGAGTCGATGAGAGTTGGCGCTCAAACGCGAGCGAGAATTGCAACTCTCATCAACTCTCATCCTCGTCTGACCGAGGCTTTCTTTGCTTTAAAATCGACATTGTCAGAGAAATATGAAGAGAAGTTTTCAAACATGATTTCTTCATGTTTGAAAAACTCTTCTCTTCAAAACGAAATAACGTTGGGTATTTTGAAATAGTCATATCTAAATAGAGAAACTTGGCCTAACAGTTTCTTGAAATCTGTACTACAGTATGTATATTGTAATGTCAAAATAATCTATGACACAGACTATATTTGATAAAGTCTACAGATTGAAAACTTTGCTAAATAAACTTGGTGTTTTCCATAAAAAGAAACGTATACATTGATCTGTGAAGAAACTACGGAGAACTAACTGTATTTTAAGTGGTTCCGACCTGCGCAGACGGAGATATGAAATTGGTCTATGATTTCTTTTGATTGAGGTTCACATACGTTTCTTATATATAGATGAAAATAACTTTGGACATGCCGGGAGGACTTTTGTAAGATATACTGATATTATATTGTATGGACAAGTGACAGCTTGGTAATTGAAAATTGTAGTTTGGTAGATTTGTAATAGAACTTTTGTTTTTGTAATGTAAATTTTTATTGGTAATATACTTTTTTGGGATTGTATATCGGTTGGCGAAGTACGGTTTGATAAAAACATCTGTTGTGATTTTTCCGAGTTTTTTTTTAATGTTATACGAGCTACTTTAATTTTGCTGCACTTGCAACGCCATTTTGAATATCACGTTATCTAAAAAGCAGTCACAAAGACATTGTGAGCATGATCCGCATTCTACTCTGTCGATACTTTCTTTACATAACATACTCTTAAGGAATGAAAAATGCATTGTGAACGCTACCTCCAACCGGAAATTTGAAGGTCAGTCCCAGTCTTTTCACGCATGCGAAGAGCGCTCAATCAGGATATAAACTAAAGATAGCGTTCCAGTTATATTCATTTCAGTGGAAAAATGAAAGAAATGGGATGAAAAATGTTGGCAGAGTAAACTGTAGGTCATGCTCACAATTTCCTTGCAACTACCTTGCACATAACATCGCTCTATGTCAGAAATCACGTGGCAAGATACAGCAAAAATTGCCTCGTGGAACATGACAACATTGTTAAAACCGACTTATCTGCGCATGCTCCGAATGTCAAAGGTTTTCCTTAGGTTTTCCTTTCCATCCGTCAATGTGACATACGCGCGCAAATTCGTCTGAGAACACGAACTACGTTCGTTTTGAGAGATGACCCGTTGGTTTGTGCGATTATTCACAGGACGTAATCTTTTCTTATCCTAACTTCATTCAGAAAGATAATCCGTTTCTGCAATAAATCGGGCTACTAAAGCGCAAAGTCAAACACAAAATGCTCTGGCACATTAGCCTTTTATATAAAGTACACTAAACTTCTACGGATGAGCAACCCGCGAATTTCTATTTTCCGCCGGGTCGTTTTGTTGGGTCCAGTGCAATTTTTCTTTTGAGCCCCATATGAAGTTATAATTTAAAACTAAAGAAAAAATGCCATGTTGGAAAACAACATACTCCAACTTAGGGTGCCCCGCTAAATCTTGGGTGTCCCTCTGATGTTAGGACCGCTATCATGTCAGGGTGGGGCAGGAAAACTTTCCCCTGCCCCGCCCTCTTGGTAGCCCTGAGCGGCCAGGGGTTACAGTGCCCCGAAGTGGCTAAACTAGTCTCTTCTGTCCCCCCTGAGCGCCATCACTGACGTGAAAGCAAAGTAAGCTACATGACATCTTTCAAACGTCACTAAGCCAAGGATGTTCTAAACATTGTGCGGCTGTTGCTCTGTTCTCTTGAACGAAGTCCAACATTGGCAGCAAAAACGATGCTAATTCTTCAGCATCTTCTTCGCTCCACTCGTATTTTTCAACGAGGACACTTTCAAGAGGCCTACAACACAAAACAATGTTCAATGTTCGCTGTTTCGAGCGAAAGTGTAAACTACAAAATAAAGCTAAAACAAAGTAATTTTGAGAGGAACGCCAAAAAGATTTTAGGTTTTAAAAACTTTTTATCGCAAATTCGCGAAATCGAGAAAAATTGCCTCTTGAACTTACCATGGTCGTAATTCTGTAATATTTCTTAACACTCCTAGATGAACGAAGATAGAATGGTAATTTTTTTAATGAAAACTATTTGTGGATAAAGCGAACTACACCGGGAATTTCTAGGAAATATGTCTTCTCAAAACTGTCGACTAGATAGAAAATTATACAAATTATTCTACAAGTTGCTCTACATGACACATAGCTGGGACACAGTGCTGATCATTTCGAAAAACATTGAGAATTTGAAATTAAGCAATAAATTTAATTCTTTTGAGGAAGAACGTGGGGTGGAAATTCTTGCTTTGTTCCTCACAAATATTTCAACATGCTTCCTAGTTTCTCTTTTGAAACTCCAGGAAGACGCTCAAGAATCCGATGCCTCAAATTGAATTTAAATTTTCCTACAGTGAACCAGGCTTTCATAACTAAATTTCACCAATGTTGTATCCAACTACTCAGTTAATCAACAATAGTTCAAAAGCTTTCAAATTTATTTAATTTTGGGTCTTCATCTAGTGCTTCAGATTGTCCGCTATTGTAGAAATACACTTCATGTGAAACTGACAACATTTAAACATTCACAAACACCTACCTTTTCTATTGAACATTTCTGTGGAATATTTTCCACCTAATGCGATATGTTTTGGTATTCGTCCTAGCAGCTCAATTATATGTGCGATATGGTCTGCAACAAGACAAAATTTCAAAGTTATTTTGTTATATATACACAGAATAAGAGATATTTACATGAGAACATAAGAAAATTAGACTTGGCGCTGTGTGCGGTTATTAAAATATGGTGGAGTGACAAGAGGTAGGGGCATCTCTTTTTCATCTCTGTGATCAGGTTTCATTCCTGCAATATGCAGTTGCCTCATTAGAATTCCATGTCAGTCACATGTGACAAGAGTGGCTTCCAGTTGACTGTAGTGTATGGTTACTCTCCACCTATGATAACACTGCACCAATAAAAGATACCTTTACCTAGATCCCTACATAAGTTTAGAATTGATAAAGTCCTCTAGTATAATCAATGAAAGTTTAGTTTAGGTTTCCTCCTGCAGTAACACTGGATGAATAAGAAATGATCTTTACAGGACGTCTAGCGAGAACAGTTTAGAACTGATAGATATATCCTGTATAAATCAAGTTAGATTAGTTTAGGTTTCCTCCTGTAGTAACACTGGATCAATAAGAGATAATCCTTACTGGACGTCTAGGAAGAACAGTTTAGAACTGACAGAGCTATCCAGTATAAATAAAGTTAGTTCAGTTTAGGTTTACTCCTGTAGTGACACTGGATCGATAAGAGATATGATGACACTTACTAGACCTCTAGTTTCGAACTGATAGAGTATGAAAAACTATCCAGTATAAAAATATTTAGCTCAGTTTACAGTTTACCATACCTTCGTCTCTGGAATAATTATCACCAGAATGAGGCTCAAACAAATAGTCTCCAGTCAGTAACTCAAACGCCTAAAATTTGAATGAACCAAAAATACCCATCAAATAACAAAGTCACCAAATTTTTCAGAACCCAACATTGCTTTCGAAAAGGCATAAAAAACTCACCATACAAGCAGTACTCCATATGTCGGCTTGAGGGCCATACGTTGAGCCAACTAAGACTTCGAGACTTCGATATTGACGAGTTTGAATCTCATCAGTGAAATGATGGTCCTGAAACAACAATGAGCAAGAGATATTAACAAGAAACTGGAAATTTAAAATGATTTTGCAAAGAAAATGAGAACAGAGAAAATTAATCTTACCACCCAGCAAGCGTTTCCAAGGTCGGCAATTTTCACTCGGACTTCCTCTTCGTTTTGAGTAGCTACATATAAAATATTCCCCAAATATTATTTTGTGCTACGCTTTGAGCAGATTAACAAGCAAACACGTCTTTTTTTTCCTAATGTGATTTTTATTGCCGAAGCAAGGTTTCTTGATTTGTCCACCTTCGGGAAACATGGCTACGAAACAATGTTTCCTGGTTTGCTCACCTTCAAGAAACATGGCTAGGAAACAATGTTTCCTGGTTTGCCCACCTTTGGGAAACATGGCTAGGAAACAATGTTTCCTGATTTGCCCACCTTTGGGAAACATGGCTAGGAAACAATGTTTCCTGGTTTGCTCACCTTCAAGAAACATGGCTAGGAAACAATGTTTCCTGGTTTGCCCACCTTTGGGAAACATGGCTAGGAAACAATGTTTCCTGATTTGCCCACCTTTGGAAAACATGGCTAGGAAACAATGTTTCCTGGTTTGCCCACCTTCGGGAAACATGGCTAGGAAACAATGTTTCCTGGTTTGCTCACCTTCAAGAAACATGGCTAGGAAACAATGTTTCCTGGTTTGCCCACCTTTGGGAAACATGGCTAGGAAACAATGTTTCCTGATTTGCCCACCTTCAAGAAACATGGCTAGGAAACAATGTTTCTTGGTTTGTTCACCTTTGGGAAACATGGCTAGGAAACAATGTTTCCTGATTTGCCCACCTTTGGGAAACATGGCTAGGAAACAATGTTTCTTGGTTTGTCCACCTTCGAGAAACATGGCTCAGAAACAATATTCCTTAATGTGTCTACCCATAGTTAATAGAAAGGTCCACCTCCTTGATTTTATGATCAATATAGTTTATACAACTTACTTGATGCGTGTGTTTCCATGGATTCAATCTCGTTCCCACTCCCTTCGCTTACTTCCAATTTTTCGACAATTTCCACAGTTTCGTTTACGCTGACCTCATGTTCCGCAGACTCGTGACTGCTAAAAACATTCACAACAATGTATGGTTGAAAATTTAACATCACTCCTTATCTAAATGTACCTCAGAATACACACTTACCCGCAATGTTCCTTTCCTGGCGAGATGTCCATTTTTGGAACCGCTGGACTACTCCTGCCGGCGCAGTCTTTTTCTGCTTCACCGTTGGTCCAGTGCATTTGTTCGTCGTCGACACAAGCCGCCTTGGCTTCGGCCATAGTTCGGTCATTGCCGCCACAATTCACTTGAGTCGAGATCTCAGCATCTGTTTTAGTTGTTTCAATTGTATCTTCCTTATTTACATATTTACTACTTTCACTTTCTACCATCATATCTAAACAAATTTGATGTAATAATATTTTATGTAAAATATAGCTTGTGAAACGTCTTGATGAGAACATTCGTATTCTTCAACAATTTCAAATAAATGAATGATACATAATGAGAAAATTGAACTTAAAGTTTATGTAAATCAGTATGATTATGTATCAGATATACAAACTCCTTCACGCTCGTGATTTCTTTTGTGTTTTCTGCATGAATTATTAACGTTAAATTAAATTTTCTGCCTACAAATCAGCAAGAGTTTGTGTCAGATATCCAAGTGATTTTCTTTGTGTGTTCAAAGTCTTACCTGTATTTCCATTATTATTTACAACTTTATCGTCACACGGACATTCTTCGTTTTCTTCGCGACATTCTGCGTTTTTCTCGTTCTCCACAATCTCTTCGCTTTTCACGTCAGTTTCGTCGTTCGAATTTCGGCACTGTTCGGAAGGCGTCGCTGTCTCCTCGTTCAGAGTTCGTTCCTGCTGCTCTTGTTCTTGCATGTATTTCTCTTGTTGTTTTTTCAAACGTTTTTTAAGTTTTTTCTTTTGGTTTTTCGATAATTTTTCAGCACTTTTTTGCTGTTGCTAAAGAAAGCATTTGTTTTACTCGTAAGGCAACCACAGCACGAGTGATAATTAATCAAAATCCCAAGCGCATTTAGCTCAGAGGACATTTCAAGCTCTAGCCACTAGATTAACAAAAATAAAGGTTTGGCGAGTGGTCCAACTATGTTTTAACTTGAATAGAACCCGTGATGGTGTCAGGAAACATTCATGATAACAGCAGATTTAATTAACGGTACACACGTAAAAATCTCACCGCAAATCTCACGTGCATGTCAACAAGATGTGTTCGCAACAGGCTTGTATAGAAAGTTGTAACAATGCTGTCATTTTATCAAGTTGCTACAAGGTTGTCACGCACAACTTGTTGACAAATTGTTGAATTGCAGGACGATAACGAGTTGTTGGAACAACTTGTAACAAGTCTGTTGAGCTCAACAACCTTGTAGCAAGTTGTCAACAAGCTGGGAACAAGCAGTGCGAACACATCCTGTTGACAAGTTGTTGGAACAACATTGCTACAGGGTTTGTTGCAACTTGTGCGTTTTTATGTGTGTAGCTAGTGGATTTTCAGAATAGATGAATTATTCAAGCGAATTCGTCTGGATAGTTTGCTTAAATAAGTTTAAACAGGATAATTTATCAGATGTGTGGATAGATGATCTGAGCTAGTACAAATTGTACTGTGAAGGCAATAAACTTTCGTTCTATATTACTTCGCATAAAAAATATTTTTGAATTTTGTTCAAAGTATCGACTTACTTGCATGATATGTTCTGGTGCTGTTGCAACTGTGAAGAAACAAAATTAATTATAATTTTTTTAGAAAATCACCAACAACGTAAAGCTTTTCTTATACGGAAACACGTGACTTACCTATATCAGAAGAAAGGTGACCGTTCATGGACGCCATTTTTGCTTCATAAGCTATCTTCTGTATTTCTTTATTGGTTATACAATACAATATATTCTCTGGTTTTAAATCTGTATGAATAATTCCACACTTGGTGTGAAGATAATCCAAGCCCAACAAAGTCTGCAAACAATATAGTTGAACAGTTTAGGAATAGTAGGAAATTCGCTATTTCTTAAATCATTAATAATTCATGGCCGTATTTTGTTGTACAGTACACATTAAATAAATCATTAATAATTCAACAGTCTTACACACGTAAAAATCTCACAACTTGTCAACAAGATGTGTTCGCAACCGGCTTGTAGCAAGCTTGTCAACAAATTGTAACAATGCTGTTATTTTATCAAGTTGCTACAAGGTTGTCATTCACAACTTGTTGACAAGTTGTTGAATTGCAGGATGATAACAAGTTGTAGGAACAACTTGTAAGAAGTCTGTTGACAGGACAAGAAAAAATAATTTTCTTCCTGGGAGCACAACCTGGGGAAAAAAGTTTTCCTGTAGACCAACGGAGTGTTTTTGTGCTAAATCTGCATGTGCATAAACATAAGTATTCTAGCTGACCATGGTTTTAAACTCACGAAAATCACGTCTGTCAATCATATGTTGTTCAGCACCCAGAGTGGGAGATTTCCTTCAAATTTTCAATAGCAAATCTTCATCCAAACGAATTTCCTGCAGCTGTTTAACATTTCCTGTGAGCAGTGCTCGCCTATTTTTTCCACCCCTGTCTGTTGAGCTCAATGACCTTCTAGCAAGTTATCAACAAGCCTTGACAACCAACTGTCAACAAGTTGGGAACAAGCAGTGTGAACATGTCCTGATGACAAATTGTTGGAACAGCAGCATTGTTGCAAGTCTGCTACTGGGTCGTTTTAGAAGTTATACTCTACAATTGAATTTACTAAATTGTGATTTTACAAAGTACCTGTTTTATTATGGATTTCACTTGTTGGACAGGAAGACCTCTATAGTTAGACTGGATGATGGGTTTTAATAAATTATAGCCTAGGACTTCAAAAACCATGCATATATCTGCAAATAGTTAAGGATGTCAATTGTATTCAACAACTTGAGAATTTATATTTATCTAGAAAATATACTCAGAAATGTATCTTGTAGTGTTGTGTTATTCTGTGAACTGCACTTTCAGGTATCCGCGATTAGTGAACCATTCTTGGTTTGCTAAAAGATTGAAACTTAAATAAAGTTGCTGATTGATTGATGACTTCAACTAATTCTACTGTACGCTCTAAGGATACGCGTGCCATGGACTCCAGTAATTTTAAAATCATCCAACATTTGAACAACATGTTTATGCCCATCATGGCTGGGATCAGTTGTGTGCACCTGATTGTAGAAAAGTACAATTATAGTTAGTTGTGGTTTATTGTAGTTTACTCATTATTATGTCTGTGCCCATGCAGGAATTGAATCTGCAGGGTTTGAACCAGGGACCTAGCTCAATATAATCACCTTTTCTAAGAGTTTCTTTTCATCCAGTGCAGTCTCAGTGTAATGTGATGCACTTTTCACAATCTTTAACGCAACATAACGTCTTTCCCTAACATTACAGCAAAATATTATTAAACAGAAATACTTTGTTGCACTATTATTGCTGTAGTTGTGTATATAATAGTAAATTTACTGTTACAGCTTTGAAAACGAAGTCACTTTTCACATTATTTCAATTGTCCAAACTTTTTGACAAGGGAAGACAGTAGCCTGAAAATTATGGATATTGGCCAGCGTGAAAGGCTAATTGCTGTTTTGCTTAGCATTTTTGTAACTGTAAGCCAACTATTGATATTTTTATTATACTATTTATCCATTCTCGTTTTGAGCCATTTTCATGCTTGATTGGATTACTCTGTAACATTGTAATAATAGTAAATTGTTTGTGTCTCATAATGTAGTGAAGTATGTATTGTACATAAATATCATCAATATTACCAAAACCATGGATGCTTCCTCTCACCTCCGAAAAATGTCATATTTTCGTGTCAAAACAATTTAGGGATGTGACTGCATTCCTATATGCCAATTATTGTCAAAATGTGAGACTATTATTAGCTATGTCAATATAATTTCTTGCAGACCATCGCCATCGAGCGAGGAGAACGATCTGTGGTTTTGGTAATAATCATGAGATGCAGGACCTCACTGAAGAGCATGTCAGTGATGTTGGTATCCTGAATAAATACACTTGTAAAATAAATATCTACAGAAAATGAAATGAAAATAAAAGCATACTTTAAATCCCAAGCCAGCCACACTGTTGAAAAATGACCCCATCCAAGCTTTCTTATAACACTATATCTGTTGTTGAAGAGGTCGCCAAGTTTGACTGGGTGGTAGCCACCTAAACATCAATGCAAGGGGAATTCTATTACACCAACAATAATCTCTATTAACCCCCTGGGACTTTATAATTATGCAAAAAAAATACCTGGGTATCCTATTTGCAAAACCTCAGGTAGGATTTTCTTGGGGTTTTTTGTAAATTTCTTTATATGTTTGTGCGTGAGAATAATACTCCTTTAGAAATCAATTATGGCAGCACAGATGACACAGACATTCACTAAATATTGTATCAATTATTTTGAAAAAAAAACATGTTATACTTTATATAGCTAGTACAAAACCATAAAGTGGGTGAAGACATTCGAACCACTGGAGGTAAAAATTAGGAAGATGGTTCAGTGAGTTGAAATCTAGTTCTTCGGAAGAAAAATAATAAAAAGTCTTCTAGCTGAAATGGCATTTCCTGCATTTTAGGAATATGTTGTTATACTGCGGATTCAGGTAGACCGTTAAATGCAAATAGTTGTTGTGTTAGTTTTAATGGTTGTACGATGACGTTTCTAGGCAGATTTTCAGATGTTTCTAAGGCGTGCCTTCAACGTTTATTTTCAAAATTTAAATGTTGTAATTACAACGTTTAAATTTTGAAAATAAACATTGAAGCCACGCATTAGAGACACATGCACATTAGAGACGTCTGAAAATCTGCCTAGAAACGTCATCATACAACCTTTAAAACTAATGTGACAACTATTTGCATTTAACAGTCTACCTGAACCCACAGTAAGTGATCGTATAAATTAATGTCATAAAGTAATTTAATAAAAGGTCAAAACAAACTATTATGTTGCTGAGTAAACAGTATGTTTATTATTTTTTAACAATATTTCCTGAATATTCTAAAAAATCGTAAGAATTTGATAAAAATCGTAAGAATTTGATAAAAATCGGGAGACCAGGAGATCCAAGATTGCTTCAATTTTCAGGAGAAAATTGAGAGAGTCAGAATGTCTACTCTGTGGTTGTAAAAAAGTTCTCCAAACTCTTTGCAAAGTTCAGATAAAAAGATTAGGGTCTGTGATTTCGATGGCCAAAAGCTAGGTAGGGTCAGAAAATGTGAAACCCAGGTATTTTTTCTTTGGTTTTTCTTCATGATATTCATTTGAAAGCATGCATAATATAGAAGACATCTGGTAAATTTCAAGCCTTGTATGGTATTTATTTTTGAAAGTACTTACATTCATAGATTTATATCTCACTGACAATATCAATAATGAATGGATGAAGTTTCATTGAACTAATATTGTTTCCCTAATCACTCTTGATATTTAGTCAATATCATTAATTATATTTTATCCAATAATTATGAAAAATTCAAAGGGATTTGGTTGTTTTATTAATCAGTTTTGGTTGGAAAAATTTAAGGTTTTTAAAAACATTTTCATTTCCTAAATTTTTTGGCTTTTTGGTCTGTGGTTCAAAAATCATTGCCGAGACACTAAAACAATTACTGAATCCTAAACGACACTTGATATATTGCTCCGACAGATAAAATTTGAAGGTAACCCAGAACTAACCTTGCAATTTTGGGAGAAAAATTTCAATATTTTTAATGTGTCTTTTAAAAGTAATGGTTTCAAAAATGTACATGTATAACACTGTAAATTATAATTGTATTTTTGTACAATTTTTAATAGAACAGTAAACAATAATTAATATTAGCTGACAAAAGTAATAAATTGGTTTCAAAGCTAAATAAAGTTTAGTTTATCTATAATTTATTATAACCCATGATTATTACCCGTTTATTTGTACTAGAATATTACATATGGCGTTCATGGGCCAATCATGGCTACATGGCTATAAACCATGGAAAGCATTGTAAACAACAGTATAATATATGCAAGCGGGAATGAAAGAAATTACATTGAGTTTATTTCGAAATTCTATTGTCTATTGTGAACTTCACACTGTTTCTCATTGGCGCTTTGTTATCTGTGAGATTTTCACGTGCGATTCAATACCGTTATGTAATTTCATCCGAAATTTTAAGTGCCAGATATAAATTAATGCTGCAAATAGAAGCGATATTATATGTTTCCTAAAACGAGAATACCTAATAGTTTGGGTATTAAAACATTCGCAAAACTAGCGTTTTACGAGAGGAATTTATCAGGAAAAGAATGAGAAGCTTTGAAAGTTTTGAAATAAAAAATTCCGATACCTTTCTTATAGTCCCCAACGTCTTCTTGTTCTTCGGAATCGCTATTATCATCATCATCGTTTTCGCTTTCGTATTTTGGCGGAGGGCTTTCTACTTGGCTGTAAGAAAGGTTTAAAACAAGGCTTAATACATGTCCCAAGTGTACATCAAGTTTCAAGCAAAATCTCAAATCCTACCTAGGTTTTTTCTCCGTTTTTCCCGCGTCCCGTTTGAGTTGTTTACTTTTTGCTCCCTTGCCTCTTCGTTTCTTTGCCTGAATTGCTAAAACTTAAGAACGGGATTTGAAAATTTAGTAGCTAATAAGAAAGTTCAAGAGCTCTATTTTCGAAATAAATAAAACTAACAGCGATTGGGCTTACCTTTCCGATTCATATTCGAACTCATTTTCGTAAACAATTCACTTTTGGGTTGTTATGAATGCGTTCATGTTTCGAACAGATTTCCACGCGACCCGCGAAGGTCGAAATTTGATAAGGAAAATTACTATAGGTGCTTCCACTATGAAGGAATTTTACTGTAAAGAAAATGTCAGAAAATTTGAAAATATTCAGTTATTGTAAAAATTCTGCGAAATTTTATACGTCACCTTGGCTCTATAGCCTCGTTTTCGTGATTGAGACGTGGGCCTGATATCAGTAGCCAAAGTAACATACTTTCCAGAAGGGTTCACAACTTCACTACCAGACCATAGTTTTACAGAAAGTGTCTTAGCAGCTGGTATTCACCTCGGCAACTTGAGCAGTAACTGTATGCTTGTTGAAAGTTTCTATTCAGCTGCATGCAAGGAGGGTGTTTCCAGTTTGTCTTTGACTGTGGCAAACACGGTTAGTTTTCCCTGGGTATTCCGACCCTAGTTGGGCAGTTTCCCTTAGAATGGATTATGCACCCAAAGGCTAGAGTTGGTGATTAATACTAATACCTGATGCTGGTTCAACACTTCAACACGAGATGGTCCTTACTGTGCACTAGGCCTTGATGGAAAAATGTTCAGATGCCGATCAGATCTGGTAGAAAATGTAATTTTATCTAATATTATTTCAACAAAAAATATTGGCCCAAAGTTTCAAAATGGACGCCTTTTGAACGATGGTTTTTAACAATGGCATTTATGAGATTGCGACATTGAAAAACAACAACGCCATTACGCAATACAAAGGCAGTGTGTCGCAACGATGGAGAACGGAGAACTTGACGCGCAAAGCTTGTCAGGTTGCGAAGAAAACGACACAGATATGCTTGATACATCAAAGAAGAAAGGCAAGGGTTCCAGCAAGACAACGGTTCCAAAAGGAACGGACGAATATCTCCGCAAAAGAGCGAGGAACAACGAGGCCGTTCGGAAGAGCCGCGTCAAATCAAAAAAGAAAATCGAAGAAACACAGCTTCGTGTAAATATGCTCTCGCAAGAAAACAGCGACCTGAAGACAAAGGTTACGCTTTTGACAAAAGAATTGAACGTACTTAGATCGCTTTTTGCTAACGGAGGAATAACGATCCCCGAACATGTTACCGTTGAAAAGACGCTTGAAGTCGACACTGAACCAAGCTGTAGTGTCACAGTGAAGTCAGAGACAAATGATGGTGAAGCTTAGATTTGAATATCGGATAGGCAAGTCGGTTTATGAAATTTTACACAATTTCTCATCGATGTAACTTAATACAATCAAAAGTGATGGACAGCACTTTAAAGTGGTCAACTTTCCTTTTTACCATCGGACAACATATGTGGGTTGTTAATAACTCAAGAGTTGGTCCCCTTTCAATATAGACATGATGTAACCTGATTGGTGTATACTGTTACCAGCCAATTTGTCACTGGGTAATAACAACAGGGTGGTAACAGGGAGGTCAGTTGCAACATAGAATAGGGAATGGGCATTGCAATTGGCTAGCATATTGCATCAATATTTGTTTACTCTATCAAAGTATATTTCAATTTGTAAACCACAAAAATTGCTAATTTCTTGATTAATTTTAAGTTGATCCAACTATGATAAAACACTTTGATAGAGTAAATCAGGTTTTTGCCGATTCGACCAATTTTAATTGTCTTACTGTAATTTGACATTTTTCTTAGCCTATAGCATTTTGGTTGCTGTATGAACATGAACATGAATGATAATCAAACAAGTACTGCTAATCACATTTGCTACTTTAAATGCCTTAAAAATAATTACAGACAAGTAAAGCCCAGATTATACAACGGTGAGAGTTGGCAGTCACACAAAGTTGGTTAGCTGTTCTTAATGTTTTCCCAGCACCATCATCATGTATTAGAACATAGTTGGAATGTTTTGTTTTGTTACTCTGGAGCTTGAAACATCCCTGCAACAATGCGTGACTGACAACTCTCATGCTCATCTCACCTGGGTTTAACCATTTTGTCAAAATGTTGTGAGAGTTTCCGCAGGCATGTCAAAAGTAAACTTAAAATTATGAACTATTCTACATTTTGGTTGTAAATTATTGGGGGATAGATCTGATAGGTAGATTTTAAAAAAGCTGATATTCAGATGAAGATAGTATGTAAATATGTTTTTGAAAAAAAATACATTGTGGTGCTTTGATATTGTACAAAACATTTTTGGATGTGTCAAATGTAGCAGGGCACAATGTAACTTATTATGTGTGTGAATGTGATCACAAAGACCATATAATGGCACACTTTAATAATTGTATGTATACCTTACATTTTCTGGGGTGAAAGGTTTTGTATAGGGACAAAAGACAAACATTGACTGATGCAGAGTTAGTTAATTGTGAAACAAGTAACAACTGATGTAGCAGCCCAATTTTGTTGCATAATTTCGGGATTTAATTTCGGGCCGCGAGCAGGCCACAACCGATGAATCACAAAATAAACTTAGCTCTTTCAGACCAATTGCATTATTTTATTATAACATTTCTTACATTCTACATATTTTAATAACTTTAGACATTACACTATAATAATACACTAAACATCAACACTATAATAAATCAATATGTGGCCTTGTATCATTTTGTGTTGATATAATATCAAATGCATGCATAATGAATATTGGCAATAAACAAACACTTGTCACTAAGTGACCTAATTTACTGTACAAAATTATTAAATATACAATATTGAAAACACATAAAATTTTCAATTTATCTCTTGTTTTATATTATACATTTTTAGTACTATTATTCTGGTTTATCGAAAACACTCGATTTCAAGGTCACTGTCTCTCATTTCTGTGTCTTCTGTACAGCTTGGTAAAGCACCCCATACCATCACTTCTGTCCCTTAAAAGAAAACAAAAATGTAACCTATTTAGTTTCAATATGCCCACTGTACCCTATTATTTTACTCTGTCTACACCCAGACAATTTTACTCGTTAAGGTGAGTCTGGCACTGCATTAACCCATTGAGTCGCATTGGACCCTGATGCACCCTACTTTAGTATTTTACTCTGTCTAACGCCAGACGATTTTACTCGTCAAGCGGAGAGCGCTGGCGGTTAATTAACAGTCTAACATATAATGCATCTATTTACTTGATATATTCTATTTTGCCATTGTATGACTTGTTAAAGATTCATATGTCAAAACAGATGTGTCCTAAAATTTATATAATAATTCATGGTTATATATAGAACAGGCATGTCCAGTGACCAGTACTGTAGGCAGTCTTCTACAATATGTTGGCTTGATTAAAGACAGTGTCTGAACTGAGAAAGATATATCAAACAAGAACTGTCTGTACCAGTGTGGGTAGTACCAATGTGAAATTGCTGTGCTGAGTGGTTATATTACTACCTGAAATAAACAAGTAGAAACTCAATGTTTCAAGCGAAGGCCCTTCGAACGTAACTCTTGACAAAGGGCCTTCGCTCAAAACGTTGAGTTTCCGCTTGTTTATTGCAGGTAGTAATATAACCACTCAGCACAGCAGTATCAAACAGTGGTTCAATGAAAGCAGTGCTGTACAATAATATGTTGTAGTTTTTTGCCTGAATTACATCAGTGAAAGTTAGAAATCCAGTATATATTAGGACCTGTAGTAGTAAGTCTACAATAAGTTGTCATGGTTTGTGTCTGAACTACCTGAAAAAGATATCTCAAACATGGTGGTCCAGTGTAGGTAGTATTCTACAATAATTAAGCTGCCATATGGTTTCTGTCTGAACTACCTGCTAAGAATATCACCTTCAGACCTCTCAACTTTGCAGAGAAGTTAAGTGTGAGATTGGGGATGTGGATGACACCTTTGTAAAAGTCCGGGAGTCTGAAATGGCATTTTGTACATTCTGAGGTGTTTTTTAATGAAATACGTTGCTTCATACAGTCCTTTAAGACAGGGCACTTTAGTTACAATAACTGTATTTCTGCGACATACAGTAATGAGCTTTCATTTGCCTTTGATAATTTACATATAGAATTCTGCTCCGACTGATTCTGCCTTTTGTCCGCTGTATTCACATATGCGTACTATTTTGTATCCAAATTGCGGGCAAAATGTTGGGCCGTATATGCCGGAACATGAATAACACGCGATTATATATTCGATTCGCGATCCGTATAATGATTAATAATGTGCATTTAAGAATACAATATTATATTAATGAAAAAATATACGTGAGATTTACTAAACGTGGCGTGAGAGAGAAGCGAATTGCATGAGACTCATGCCGAATGTGTGAGAGTTGAGAGGTCTGCACCTTGGCTACCGAGCCTCATTTTCATGATTGAGACATTAGGCTTTAAGTAATGTCACATACATGAAAACGAGGCTCCATAGCCAAAGTGACATTCATTCTGGAAGGTACTGCATTGAACTGCAGGTGAGCATTTAAAAAAAATGACTATTTATGCTGTTGTCTTGAACATAAATGACTGATCAGTACCTGTTGAATCAAGTCTTTCCAAGGGATATGTGACGTTGGAATGAAACATCCAAAAATGACCATTATTACAAGAACTCAAACATGATGAACATGGCAGGATAACATGGTACCCAACAACACAGCCACTGCAATATAATAATTAAAATAATTATTAAATATATATTACACCATTCCAAACAATAGATGATGGTTTTGACAATGTGGGGCCTCATATAATCCACTTTTGTCATGGCTTGCGTACTGAAAGGCAGTATTTTATTTTAAGATAGGTAATAAGACCTCCACATGCGCCTTGGACCTCTCGTTTGTTATCCATTTTTCTTGGCTTTCGGTTCATTAAGTATTAAAGTAATATATTGAGAGCTCATACCATCCTAAGCAAGCAACATCTTTTATTCGACAGAAACAACTCTTCGTTCTGTAGTCTTGTCCTATCAACTGAATTGATCTAAAACGGCGATAATGTATTGGTAATATTTAACAAAACTAAACAGTGTTACATTCCAAACAAATTTCGCAAAACAAATGCGTTTTACTTACTGTTCCGGGGGTAAATCTGTCGAGTAAAGTTCGACTTTTGTATCGGCGAGCAAAATGGCTTTCATACCACGAGCACAAAGACACCGGTCACAGCATTTACAACGCAAATAAATCACCGTTTTATCTTGAAAACTTGGATGTAGGTTCCTTGACATTACGAACTATATTTGAACGAACGTATAACACAACTTTATTGCAAATAAATCGACAAGACGACAAATATATGAACGTTTTATCGATGCAAGTGTAATGAAGCAGGAAATATTGAATAACAGATGGTATTTAATACTTTCCTGCAATCTTATTGGCTGTAGCTATGCAACCGAACACCAATCACCTTGTTTGATTTTTCTGGACTTTAAAAATCGGGTTGGATCAGGTTGGAACCTCTGTGGGTTAATTATGTAATAGTACCCGAATTTATTTAACGATGACGTCACAAAATTGATGCTGTCGGCAATATTTTTCAAAACTCCGTTACCTTTCTTATGCCCCTTGACCCCTTCTTACTGGAACCATGGATAATAAAATAAATTTTATTTTATTATCCATGCTGGAACTGATGTAAGGGCCGGACCATTAATAAAAAAGTGAGAAAATTGAGAGGAAAACAAAAGAAAAATTCGTGCAGCAGACAAAAGCAAATTGTAATGGTCGATCGGCCCCCAACAGTCTAACCTCCTTCGCAGACATCTCTATTATCTAACAATGAATAATGTCTAGTTCCTTTTAACTGCAGAACCAGCTTAGCCTCGTAACTTCAAAAGTTCAGATTTTAGAATTTGGTGACGTCCTCACGTCCTAGAGCTATGTTTACATTGTATCGGATCGGTTTTTGCTCCGTTCACGAAACGTTCCGGCCCAAGTGTAAACAGCTTCCGCCCTCGCCCAACTAAATACAAAAATATTATAAGTGAGCAAGCTATACCCGCAAATAAGATTAGAATAGCAAGTCTTTGTTTCCCTGATGCCATCTTGAGTCACGTATTGAACCGAAAATTGCTCCGATTGGTGTTTACATTGCAATGAGAGCGTTGCAAAAAGCGATCCGATACATTGCGCACCACTTCGAAGATCGAACCGCCGCACCAGAAATTGAGACGATAACAACATTTCATATGTAAACAGAAGCCCTATCCGGTATGGTTTTTGCGTCGGACGCAAAGTGATCCGATACAATGTAAACATAGGCCTAGGCAGCGTTTACACTGTACCGTTTTCGTAGCGTTCTCGTATTGTTCGAGAGAACTAGACTATTGTCTTGCGTTCCCTTGAGGATTAAGAACAATACGAGAACGCTACGAAAACGGTACAGTGTAAACGCTGCCCTAGTGACAACAGATATGTATAGGTTATTTTGAGGCAACGAGGGGATATGTGATTTATTCACCGAGGCGCGCAGCGCCGAGGTGAATAAACACATATCCCCGAGGTGCCTCAAAATAACGTACTTATTTTTCACACTGCGAGGTCGCGTTAATGAGTCAGAAAAGAAATAATTCTCAATGCCATATCGCCTTCGCGATGTTGTTTTTTCTCATTTTTTGTGCTGCAAAGACATTGCAGGTGAATATTAGAGGGGATTATTAATTGCAGGTGAATATTAGAGGGGATTATTAAACGGAAATTGATTAGAGGGTAATATTGAATATATTCCCCGACAAGAACAAAGGAAACCGAGCAGGGTGAAAAATAAGAGAACGTATCTCTTCAATACACGCCCGGTCGGTCATGGGTATTGTCTGACCCATTCGTGAAATTGTCCAACGTAGAGAGGAAAGCACCCGACATTCTGTCCGACCAAAGTGAAACTGAGGTTTATTGTTTGTCCGACCTGAGTGTATTGGTGTCCGACCGAACAGTACTAGCTTTGTCCGACGTAAATCAAAATCTTGAAATGGAAAACGGGCTTAAGTGTATCTTACTTCTGTAATTGGCATGCAAGTTAATTTCGGCTTGGAAATAAGTATGAATGATACAAATTATTTAATATCTTCAAAACATTTACGATTTAAAATAAATTATGCTGATATTTGTGTCATTCAGACTTATTTCCAAGCTAAGCTGAACTGATGGTCATCGGCGTCGGACAAATGATGTGCGACAACTCATCGCACATCTGATCATCATATATGTCCGACCAAAAAACAAAGTCATGGGACATTTTGTCAGACGGTCCTGAAAAAGATATTTTAAGGCCTTCAAAATACACAAAGCATTCTTATCAAACTATAGTTCAACAAGATATATAGTCTTAGTAAATGTACGATACATTACAAATAAAAATTTACATCATGAAAATCGGTTAACAAACTACCAGAGACCAGGGGCCTGTTGTATAAAGACGTAATTAGCGCTAACTGTAGTTAGCGTTAATCACTCTAGTTAAATCCTAAACTGTAATTAGTTAACTACATGATTTAACTGCGTTGCACAAAACCTTTGACAAAACGTAGTCGGATAGTTAACTAATCACGTCACTCTCCTCCGCAGAGGCTTTTTTGTTTTCTTTGTATATATTAAAGTTTGACTTGCGGGCAGTAGCGGTCCAAATGTCCACGATGCCCCCTTTTAACCCCGCGCGCTCGCTCCGCCCGCGTGCCCACTTCTCTACCTAGCCCGCTACTGCCCGCAAACTCTAAGTCAAACTTCAGTTATATATAGAAGATAGAACGAAAACAAACTACAATATAGAAAGAAAACAAACTACAAAGATCTACAAAGCCTCTGCGGAGGAGAGTGTAATCACGTAGTTAACTGTGCGTGGGGCGTTTAAACAGAAAATTACATAAAGTAAGCAACGAGTAACGACCGCTGACACACATTTTCAACATGATTGTGGACTCGTATTTTGCAAATAGGCGGGAATTTTATTCAAAACACTCGAAAACAGTTAAAAATATACAAGAAAACAAGGAAAAACCGCCACAAAAATCATAAAAGAATGCAATTTTTCCTTGAGATGTCCACGTTAAATAAACCAAGGGATAGCTGTTTGGCAATTATATATCAGTGTTTCTTGGTGTAATGGACCATACTTTGTCTTCGAGAAATCGTCCTGTGCAAAAATATGTTCTGTTTTCGTAAAAACACCAAAACGATAGCGTTTGAAGAGTGTATATTGTCAGGAAACATTCACAGGGAAGATAGCGATTGAAAATCTCAGGTAAGCGTTGCTTTTCATTGTTGTTTTACTGAAAAATGTTGTTCACTCCTATACAAACGCTATTTTTAACTACGTTTTGGACAGTTAACTATACCCTAAAGCATAGTTAACTTTAACTGCTTTTTAACTGCAAGTCTGCAATTAAGGCTAACTACACTTTTATACAACCGGCTTAACTACGTGATTAAAGTTAACTATTTTTAATGTACACATCAAAGGAAATCATATAGATTATAGACCAATTTGATATCTTCGCCAGCAGAGGCCAGAACCAATTATTAATCTTCTATACGTTTCTGTCTGTGGAAACACCGGGTTTATTTTCTATCTGAATACTTCATCTAATAAATATATATTATCATGGAATATATATATTCACAATATTTACGCTGATGATAATCCGGGATTCAGGAACAGGATGCCTCAGGTTTGAACGCTTTGCTAAATAAATCAACATGGTATTTTCTACAAAAATAGAAGTACTTGAAATATTTCTCATCAAATCATCTAATTCCATGTATAGTTTCGTGAACGTGTTTCTTCGTCAACACCACACATGCTTTCGACATTTTAGTCAAGTTTTTACAATTTGCCGACGATTACTGATTCTTGACAAGAAAAACAAGCGAAACTGGGGACACCAGATAAATGTTTTTCTCCTTTGCTGTCATTACCACCATCCATCATCATTCAATCACCATTACCACCAAAATCACCACCAATCATAACCAATCAGTCAAACCATCATCATAACTAACAATATCACTATCAAAACCATCAACATCATTACTACCATTATTACTATCATTATCATCATCACAACACCAATGTCACTTTTATCACAATCCCCACCACCATAACAATCGCCATTGTTACTTTCATCATCACTATCACCACCACCATCATAATCACCAATATTACTTTCATCACCACTACTAAAACCATCACCAAACTTCTTAAACAGGGTTGCTTCCTACTTGATATTTGATCCATAGTTAGAACCTGTCACCCTAGGCAGGGAGGCGAGGGAGTACTATCACTTGCCCAAGGTGAGCTCCCAGACAAGCGGAGGGAAGGAGGTATCTTACTTCTCCATTCTAGACTGGCTCCAAGCAAAGTCTAGCCGCTGCCCGAAAATTATCCGTTTGACGATGACTTATTAAAAAGTTCCTCGGTGACAAAACCTTTTCATAACATCGTAGTATACGGTATTGCTGAACGCTCATACACCGCAGAGGAAGCCATTCTCATCATAAATTAGCTAAGTTTGTTCTCCCTAAAAGTTTAAAACGCGTGTACTTGGGCCGCATTTTTTCACTATTTCCTTTTCCTGCTAATTGTTCGTAATATCCAATCTTGGTTTTTTGGGTTTGAAATAAAAGTACCTTGTCCTTGCTTGGTCCAATAAATGTAACGGTAGAGAAAATTCATGCAATAGCTGGTCTGTTAATGTCTAAACAATATCATTCAAAACTCCATATCATTGTAAAGTCCACCAATATAAATATCGTCTCTCTCCAGCTTGTTAGCTGCCTCACGTTTCACACTCGACAACAAAGGGTCTTGTGGAATGCACAGTCGAAGAAACTCCATATCGCCATTTATCTTAGGAAAAGCTATCATGGTTTCTTCTGCAGAAAGTTTTAGTTGTTCTAATGACTTTCTTGTTAAATATCGTTGAAAGGAAAACCCGAGAAGCCCACCAGAGTCCATGTCAAAAAATTCTAAAAAGTCATAGCTAGCAGTAATAACAACTCTGTCTTTGTTCAGACAAAATAGCTTCTTACAATTACAATTTAAATGACAACCATAGTCAACGAGTTTTAGAGTTTTGTGATCACCGGTATCCAGGTGAAATATTTTACCATCATTCATGTCCAAAACAACAGCGACTTTGCAATCGTTATTGAAACAACACACAAAATTGTGTTCAGGTTCTGAATACGACTCGACAGACAAGCTTCTTTCACCGAAATCATCCTCAGGTATTATACACGGTTCAGGCGTTTCAAGCGGTTTAGTAAGAAAGATTTCATACACATTTGGCTCCTCCTTGGCATTTCTTTTCCAAATATTATACATATACTTATCATCGCCAAAGACAAAGGAAGCACCAGGCGAAACTGTAATACTCATCCCAGGCTTAATTCCAGGTAAGGTGATCATTCGCGGTCCCCCAACTCCGCTGACATCGAGAACTTTAACAGGATCCGTCTCTCCACACTCGAAGATGAGCAAGCCCTCTAAAAAATCAACAATTGCTGACAAGGATACGAACTCTTCCAATAAATGATACAGCGACACTTGCTGGCTCTCCGGGAACGGGATCTTTAAATTGACATCCGCCGGGTATTTTGATAAGCTGGGAATCCTATCAAAAAAATCAAACACGAACAAGAAATCTGTCGACCACCAACAAGCAAATGACGATTCGCCTTGATTTCTTTTGAAACTCTGTTCAACTTGGTTCGTATGGACATTCCATATGTTGATACATCCATTTGAGGTACAAGTTGCAAATCGGGAGCCATCAGGAGAAAACGAACACGAAAAAACGCGTGCTGGGCGTGATAGGAAAGAAAGTTGTTTCTGTGTTGAAGCTAATGTCCTAAAGACAATTAATTGTTTCATATCTGCATAGAGCCACAGGTTATCTTCAATCGCTGTTATTTTGTTGAAGCTACGGTCAGGGTCATGCCAGAAACCCAAGAAAATGTTCTTCCAAGCAGCAAGTGTGCTGAAATGAGTGTTTTCTACGACTCTTAAAAGCTGCCAATCCAAAGCAAAAATACACTCTACACCATTGTAGACCTCTGCTGACCATGGTAGTTCCCAGTATTCCGGCGGTATGTATGGTTTGACTTCTAATTTTTTACAAGCATTTAATTCTTTAAATCCTGGTCGAAAACAACGATGACATAGTTTACTATGGATTACTTTTCCTTCGTCTCGCTCTACATCGGATAAGTTTCGCTCATCACTCCTTTGCCATGTGATGGCGTTCCAAACGCAAAACGCATCTTGTTCGGGAAATTCACAGTCTTCACTGTCATTATATTTTGAGTCAAATTCTGAGTCTTCAATCGTAGAATCTTTTACGTCAAATTTTGGGTCTTGAGTGGTAGAATCTTCATGTTCATGTGAGTCACCTATCCAGTCTCCAATGATAAACAAACCTATGCTGCTAAAAGAGCACCAATTAACAGGAACGTCGGCACAAAGTGACGACAGTAAGCTTTGGTTAGCAACATCCCATAGTTTAACGGTGCTAGAACCATCGCTAGTTACCAGCCTCTTGCCGTGTGGGGAAAATGCACAGGACTTGAACGTCTCTTTATTTCCGCGGAAAAATGGCACTTCCTTTCTTTCTGCAATGCTAAGTACTGTTTCCAGCTTTCCAAATAAAACGAACGAACTGTCTGGAGCAAATGTACAACATGAAATACTTTTGTATTCAGTTGAATACTGCCAAAGCTCAACCAAACGTGGTATGGATATCACACTGATTGTTCCATTCCTTTGTGCAACGGCTGCCATAGTCTTATCGTAGGACAAACCAACAGTTCTAATCTTTGGCACTTCATTTTCAATCTCTGGAAAACGCCAGAGTTCACGTGGCATAATTTCCACTTCATCAAAATTGGACTCAACAAACCGTGGAATCTTTGATAAAAGCGACTCTGCAATTTTCTTCTCGTTATCACTGAAATAGCCTTCTGGAGAATGTGTGAGAACACTCTGTAAAAAATAAAACGGTGGACCGTTCCCAAACAATCGTGTATATAATCTACTCTCCCAGTCATAGTCGATTTCAGCAACATGCCACGAAATTCGTGCTCGTAGTTTATCATCTATGACCTCAGCACCTTGAAGAATTCCTATCCAGATGTTGCGAATTGATCGTACATAATCTCTCTCACTTTTGGAGTGGACAGTTAAAAGAGCATGTATGATTACAACATCTACCAACCAAAAGTAACTTTCTTTCATCTTGCACGCTACCAGATGTTGAGGACCATGATACAGAGCATACTTCACGTCAATAGTTAAGCTTAAGTCATCTCCAGAGCAAACATTCTTCTTAATTTCTTCGAAAACTTGTTCGCATATTAGCCAAAGGTATTTATTTCCATCACTGACTTTGACAGTATATTCATGATCTTTGTAGCCTTCTGCAAGGAGCCAGTCAATAACAGATTTGTGAAAAACGGTCACAAGATCATCAGAAACGTAGAGCAAGCACGATACCGTTTCATTGACTTTGTCAATAATCTTCCTTGTTTCGCGATTATCTGGAGCCAAACCAAAAGCCCGAGTAAGAAAACTCAGAGGTAGAGACCCTTTAGATGTAACTAGCATTTTCACAATTCTCAGCACGTCAAAATCCGAATGCATTATGGCTTTAAGCTCGTCTTCGAGGCGTTTGAAATATGCTTGATAAATAGAATTGAGGCCTTCTGGAAGGAACTTGATCATCTCCTCACACGTAATCGTTTGAAGACCGCCACGTTTTTGCAGTTCAGATTGAATGTAAAACGCATACAGAAATGAACCCTCGCACTTCCAAACGAGCACTTCAAAAACACCGTGCGTGGCAATAAGTCTATCATATTCATTGTTTGCAGGAATTTGGACATTTTTGTCAGCTAGACTTGGAAGGCAAGCTTGAAGATAATGTTTAAGATCCAAATCATTACGGGTATCATTATTAGCAATATTAATCTTTTGAACACTGCTTAGATTTGCTATGGAGAGTTCTGGTCTGCTGGTCACCAGGACCTTGATACACTCAGGAAGATCTGGAAAATAATCAGCAATCAAATTCACAATTTCATTCTTATCATCTGCTGCACTTTCATCCAAGCCATCGATCACGATCAAACTTGGTTCTTCTAAATCCAATTCATCAAGGGGATTTTGCACGTATATTCTAAAGGCATCCTTTAAGCTTCGGACTTGATGAGGTCTCCTCAACTGATCAAAAAGCTTCTCTTTAAAACCCGCGATATTTTCACACATCTGACTTGCGAGAGACTGCAGCATCATCATAGGATCTCTTAGGTTTGAATTACTGAAGTCACAAAAGTGAGAAGCTGCCAACTTTTCCTTCTTCTTAAAATCTTCACAAACTTTTGCTGCAAACACACTTTTACCAAACCCAGGTCCAGCTGTCAATAACAACATCCTTGATTTTTGCTCTTTCTCAACAAACTCGATCACTTGTCGTAATAACCACTCTCTCGTGCCATGATGGAAAAACTCCACTTTACGTTTAATTTTACTCTTGAAATTGTGCTTTGCCAGTTTTTGCAAAAGATCTTCATCACTCTCTTTGCTTTGTGACAGATGACTGATCAAACTTTCGGGGGTTTCGATGTTACTTTGTTTCTCCAAAGCTGACTGATGGAGTTGTTTTATTCCATCGCGGTTTTCTTCAGTAATCTCGGCCAAACGATTGACAGAACATTCCATAGATTTAACATCATCACTCAAGCATTTTATATAATCTTCTTCATGCGCGATTGAACTTTGAAGAGCTTCGATATTACTTTGTTGCTCTACAGCTGATTGACAGAGATTTGTTATTCCATCTCGGTTTTCTTCAGCAATTGATGTCAACACTTTCATGCTCTCTTCTTCTTGTGATTTCCATTCTTTCAGTGTCTCCACATATATTTCTTCTTCAGGTCCTAAAGAACAAATTTTTAAATCATCGACATCATTCTGGGGAATGTTCAATTCTACCAAAGCCTGGGAAATTTTCTGCCATAATGATTCAAATGTTGCATTATCCACTTGAGTTGACGTCACGTGTGCATAAACTTCATTTCTAAACGACTTGAGTCGTACGATATTTGCTTGCATCGACCTGTCCGGGTCTGGAGGCATTGCATCCCAACCAGTTGATGGTAAACCACAAATGTTCCGGAAAAGAACTGTAAGTAATGTAACATCAAAGGTTTTGGAATCTGGCGGGTCACCAGATGGAGGAAAGAGTAAATCCCACTGGGAATTATTAATAACTCGAAACTTTAACCTCAAAAGATATTTTCGATTGGCGTTAAGAACTGCAGGTAATTTGGCAGGAGGATGAATAGAATCAAATGTATTTCTCAAAGCTTCAGTTCCTTTTTCAACCAAAAGTCTACTGAGTCTTGTAAAATTTGCCTTTTCCTGCAGATTGACAGAAGCCATAACGCTGTATGAGGTTTTTACTGCAACATAAAGGAAATCTTGGATAAGTTTCACCTGGGCAATCGGGTGAGGAATGAGGGTTACTTATTATATTATATTATATTATATTGTGTCCCATAAATCCCATTCCCATGTCGAGATCTCCCCAGGAAGGATGCGACATCTCCCCATTAATGATGCTTGCCAGATAATTTTACTCAACAGGGGAGAGTGCTGCCTCTCAATTGGTTAATAATTGATTGGAAAGTAAATGACTAAGCACACATTACGAATTATCATTTTATAATACCTGAAGAGTGGATATCTCTCTACAGCTTGAACTACGGGTCATACAAACAGATTTCTCTGTGTTCCGATACCTAATCACTAAATTATTCACTGTCCGGTTACCTTTCAATCAACACCTATATCAAATTACTGCATGCAAATCATTGGTAAATCCGTGATTTCAGTTCAACAATGTTAATTATGTTACAATCTAATACTGTAGCAATTGGCGCCGAGCTTTTGGTGGCACAGTGGTTAGTAGTTAGTACATCAGTATATGAACCATCAAGGTTCGATTCCTGCAATATGCAGTTGGCTACCCTGGATTCCAGAGCCTTCGACAGTAATAAATTGAAACGTCGCGAAGGCTCTGGTTCAACGGGGAGATTCTTTCATTAAACCGCGCCAATCACAAAACAGAATTAGTGGTTTTAGTACAGATTCTGTACTAAAACTATTAATTCTGTCTTGTGATTGGCGCGGTTTAATAAAAAAATCTCCCCGTTGAACCAGAGCCTTCGCGACGTTTCAATTTATTATTTACTGTCGAAGGCTCTGGAATCCAGGGTAGCAGTTGGCTGGCTATCATTTCTCCCCCAGTTGCACGAAATAAGAGTGGTTTCAGTTTGATTTCACCTAACACTCAGGGTTTTCTCCGACTGCTCTAGTTTGCCAGTCAAAAACTACTTAGACAACTGACAACATAACATAATTTATTGGCGCCATTAAAATAAAAGTTACAAAGACGAGATATAAATAATTGAAATTATAAACTGAGAAGATGACACAGGTTATCTGAATTAACTGAATGTTAAACTAGTCAGATAACCCTATAATTAATAATTCGAGCCACTGTGGGTCAACATTAAAATATTGCAAGTCAATTCCAAAATATTGTGCCGCGATTAAATAAATGATTTAAAAGAAAATTATATTTATATAAATTATAAATAAATATAAAATTGGTTAATTAAGTTAGTTTATGTTAGTATGTGTTAACAGATGTAGAGGCTAATATTCGTTAATTAATTTGATTTTCAGTTTGCGCTTGAAGCAATTCTTGTCAAACTTTTCAAAGAGTCTTCTAGGTTATTCCAAATTTTTGGTCCCTGAAAGCGTAGTGAAAACTTGCCATAATTAGTTCTGATTGAAGGAATACAATATGTATTTTTAGATGCTAATCTTGTGTCGTAATTATGCAATTGATCTGATTGACATGCAAGAAAAAATTGGCGAAAACATCACGAAGGTTATTAGTATAGAAGCCATGCATAAACAATAAATTTGAAAATATAATTAAATCTGAAAGTTTCAAAAGGCCAAGATTTTTAAAAAGAGGACTAGTATGTTCATCATATTTTGAAAAAGTCATTACCCTCATTGCTCGTTTTTGCAGTAAAACTAATGGTTTCAGAGCTGATTCATATATGTTACCCCACAATATCAATCCATATGTAATAAATGGATATATTAGTGAATAATATAGTTGAGTTAGCACTTGAGTTGAAACATAATAACACAATTTAGATGAAATACCTATATTTCTCTTAATTTCTTTTGAAACGTTTTGTATCTGTATTTTCCAATTTAAATTGCAATCAATATAAATTCCCAAATACCTTATGCTACTTTCTTCCTTGATAGCCACCTGGTTCAAATATAAGTTAGGACTAAAGCTGATTCTCTTTTGAGAGCTACGAAATATAACAAAATTTGTTTTTTCAATGTTCAAATCAAACTCAATTTATTAGCAGCTAACCATGCTGATATCTTGGTCAAATGAACATTTACTAATACTTCTAGTTCCGATAAATTTTTATTTGCACAAAATAGATTTGCATCGTCCGCAAATATATGAAATTCAAATAAATCAGAAGAACAGTTTTTGAAATCATTAATATAGAGAAGAAACAGTAGAGGCCCTAACACACTACCTTGGGGTACACCACAAATCATATTCTCCTCAGCTGAATTAATATCACCAATAGTAACAAATTGTTTTCTATTAGACAAGTATGATTTAAACCAATCATTTACTATTCCACGAACACCAAAGCACTCTAATTCTTGAGTTAAAATATGGTGATTTACAGTATCAAAAGCTTTGCTTGGATAAAAAAAAATTCCACAAGAATAACATTTATTCTCAATAGCTTTTTGTATCTTATCTATGATAAGAGTTACTGCTTGTGTTGTGGAGTGTCCTGACCTAAAACCAAATTGGTTTTCAAATAAAATCTTTTTATTCTCAACATATTTTATCAATCTTCCATACTTAACTTCTCTAATATTCGATTAAATACGGGCGATAGGGAAATGGGCCTATAGTTATTAACGCAGGTTTGCGAACTGTTTTTGTATCTGCGAAGCAGATATATTGCTATCGCAAACGTGACCGTCAGTATTACCGTTTATTATACATTTAATATGTATTCTCGTTTCTAATTGGTCAGAAAGCACCGGCTAATTTTCAGTATTCGGCATTTATTACGTATTTTCCGCCGATGACGTCATCAGCGTCCAATAATTGGTTTTTTTTGGATCGAACTTGCATCCAAAAAAATATTATTGGACTCTCTCGTGCCCAAACCCTTGCGCGGCCAAAAGCTTGAACCTATAAGCGCGCGAAAAAAACAAACAAACAATGGCCTACAGCAGATTTGCTTCGCTGAATGAAAGTGAACTCTCCAAATTATTGGCAGATAAAGATAGTGAAAGCACGAAAAAAGCCACAAAGGGGTAAATAGAAGTAGAAATAGAATATTTAGCTGACCTTTGACTTTGTGCAAGGTGTTTGATATTCAAATTGTACTTTTCCTACCTCATGAACCGGAATCGTTTTATACGTTTCTCATGTCTTTAAATGTATAATAAAACAATTATTGGATTCGGCTTTCGCATGATATTTAACAATTATTCGCCGAAGGCGAGGTGATTATCGGTGAATAAAAACCGAGACGAAGTCGAGGTTTTTATTCACGATAATCACCAAGCCTGAGGTGAATAATTGTTTTAGTATAATTCCACAGGTGATTATTTGGAAAAAAATAAAAAAATGCACATTTCTTCGTCTTTCAATTGACAAAACGGCTTCGGCCGCCATTTTGAAAATCGCTTAGGTGATTATCGCGTAATAATCACCTCAACGGTAACCAATCAGCGTGGAGAATTTTCAATAATCACCTATGTAATTATACTAACAAGAATTATTCAGACCTCGGTCTATGTTATCCGCCTCAGCTTCGCTTCGGCAGATAACATTGACCTCGGTCTGAATCAGGATCTTAGCTAGAGGGCCGTGTTGGCCGTGTTATCGCGGCCAAAAGTGGAAAAACACGGCTAGATAAAATGAACGCGGCTTCTTTATATAAGGCCGTGTACGTTCATAAAATAAGGTCTTGCTACTTACAACAGACAGAAAAATCTACTGTAAAATCTACTGTTGTTGTTGAAATTGGAAAAAGTGATCTGTGATGAGTTTAATGTTTTGATGGATAATGGGAACTGTATGGTGTTAAAATGGTTTTAAATACCCCAGGAGTTGCTCAAATTACTGGTTGCAAAGCACAGAACAAATGGCCTACAGCAGATTTGCTTCGCTGAATGAAAGTGAACTCTCCAAATTATTGGCAGATAAGGATAGTGAAAGCACGAAAAAAGCCACAAAGGGGTAAATAGAAGTAGAAATATAATATTTAGCTGACCTTTGACTTTGTGCAAGGTGTTTGATATTCAAATTGTACTTTTCCTACCTCATGAACAGGAATCGTTTTATACGTTTCTCATGTCTTTAAATGTATAATAAAACAATTATTGGATTCGGCTTTCGCATGATATCAAGAATTATTCAGACCTCGGTCTATGTTATCCGCCTCAGCTTCGCTTCGGCAGATAACATTGACCTCGGTCTGAATAATTCTTGATATCATGCTCAGCCTCATCCAATAATTGCTTAATGTTAACACATAGCCATTCAGCGACGAGCTTATATAATTTAAGCCAATTTAAGCCAATTAGCGATTCGTTTACATCAATTGTTTACATCGTGCCGGCATCTAACCTGCGAACGGGCATACTTTGGCCTCGTCGGGCCTCGTGTATAAATCGTGTTTATATTCTTTCAAAAATATCTTGATATTTTTATCAATTTATCTTGAATTGGCTTTTTCTCGCCATTCTACTTGCGATATTATTCCGAAGTTATTTATCAACATGGAATCTTATCCTCATCTGGTAAGTAGTCAAATACCACATAATATATATTTAAATACCAAATTTGTACAAATATATGTCCCACATATTTTATAAATATACATGAGTTCGCCAGTTCGGCAAATATTTAATACTATACTATCTATAGTTAATATTGCCGTATCTTCGGCGTAGAGTTTACATGGAATGCACTCTGGAATTTTTTTATTAATATATTACACTGTATAAAATATTGGATATTTTCGAGGATATTTTAAGCCATTTGTCAACATAGTTCACAAAAAGATTTATACAGTATTAAAAACAATCCTTCTGTGACTTCTGTAATATTTTAAACAGTGAAAACATTCTCAGGAGATATTGAATTAAATCCTGGTCCTGTATTTCTGTATATTGACTCCATAACTCTGTTCAAAACAACAGTCCAACTATAAAGCTGTCATCAAATGTAGTGTTAGAGCAAAGCTTGAAGATGTTATCAGTTAAAATACTTATACATTTTGGTTTTACACATTAGAGTTAATTAAACAAAATTTTTACCAACATTTTCAAATAAAAGAATCCTCACCCTCCCGAGCCTCATTACATTGTCATTTTGCTTTCTAACATAAATATTTTTCTTTAGAGATTAATACAAGAATGAAGAATAAATGTACTGGATATTGGCTGGATAATTTTGTCAGAACAACCAACTTGCAAGACAATCTTACCTAAATTCATTAGTATGGAAAATAACTTAACAGCTACAATGAGTAATCATATATTATATGGTGGATTTGATCAATGGCACACAATGTACAAAACTAAACTTGTGATACCTTCTACTCAAACCGATAATCTCCCACAACACAATTGTTTTTGTGTGAATGTGCTGTACGTGTTAAACCGAACAGTGTGGTATATCATTAACTGTGCACAGAACTGGAATTTAATTATATACTTCACTCATGACCTTCAAAACATTCTCAATTATTCAGTGGTCTTCGACATGTTCACCAAATATTTTGTGTATGTTACTCAACAGTTAACATTGGCAAGTGTAAACAACAAGTGACATAACTTTTGCTTCATATATGATTACAATAAAGTTTTGAAAATTTGATGAGTATGGATTGAATTGACAGGTGACAGTTTACTAAATAGCCGGCTGTATAGACACTTTGAATATTGTTTGCATGAAATTTTTATTTTCTGACTGCATAATTATCTGTTACAATCATAATCACTTTATAAAGTTAGTTAAATTTTCTTGGTGCGGGGGTGGGGAGGGGGGAGGACTTACCCTGCCGCTCTCCCCGCTGTGTACAGCCCTGTTTTAAATCTTATCTGCTATTATAATAAGTGATGAAATATTTT